TTTTGTTGTTGTAGCAATTTGGAGGAGAACTGCTGTGTGCGCCCTCTCTACATTGACTTCCGACAGGATCTGGGCTGGAAGTGGGTCCATGAACCTAAGGGCTACTATGCCAACTTCTGCTCAGGCCCCTGCCCATACCTCCGCAGTACAGACACAACCCACAGCTCGGTACGGAGCAAGGTCATGCCACACGGGGCGCTGGGGCTGAGCCAACCAGGCCGCTCGTTAAAAAGAATGCATGAAGGACTTAGTGTTGCATGAGTGGATGATGATCTGGGATGTGTAAAATCCCCTTGATGAAGGTTCTGATCTTGGCACCAACTCTAGTGGGTCACATTCTGCCCTAACATTTCATTCACAGTTTCAACCAGACTTTTAATATGCTTTTGTACTCTGGAAATGAATTAGATGTCATGGGCCACCTCATATGCCAGAGTGCACGTGGCTGGCAAGGGATGTTGGGGCCAAAAGGCTTCTACCATCAGATAAAGAACTCTAATAATTCTAGCCTCCTAAATGTAGAAAAGTTTGGAAAGACGAGGTAAAATACACAGAAGTAGCTAAACGAAACAAAGGGAAGAGAAGGGAGAGGGAAGTCCACGACTCTGAAACGAGTTTATCTTTCCTTCAAAGGGAATCCCAGATAGGGCAGTGATCTGTGAAGTACATTTCCTTATAGCCCCTTGTTGCTGCATCCTGTCTGGGGCCCCACACTTTGGCCCTTTAACTAGGAGGCCCAAGGCAATGTTTAGTGAGACCATTTCTCACCCAAGTGATCAGTTACAGCTAGGAAGACCAATATAGGAGCGTTTTTTCACAGCCAAGAGAATTTCATGATCAATTCAAAGTCCCCAGTAACTGAAATATGCTTAAACTGATAATACACAAATGTGATGTGCTCACCCCGTGTGGATGAATGGCCACCGGTCACTCACCCAAATGATGTTCCGCCAATTCCTCAGAAGTAGCATCAGTGACCAGCTCACCCCTTGCTCAGTCTCTGGAGCAGCCCCTAGACCTCATAGGGTCCCTGGGCCCCCAGCCTGAGGTGTGGCTTTCCAAGCTCTAAATAACGCATCCCTCCCCAGGTGCTGGGGCTGTACAACACCCTGAACCCGGAAGCCTCTGCATCACCTTGCTGTGTGCCCCAGGACATGGAGCCCCTGACCATCCTGTACTACGTCGGGAGGACCGCCAAGGTGGAGCAGCTCTCTAACATGGTGGTGAAGTCCTGCAAGTGTAGCTGAGGCCCCGCCTGTGACAGAGAGAGGAGGGAGAATGGCGACTGCTGGACCGCCTGCTCCTCGGGAAACACAAAAGCAACAGACCTCACCTCGAGGCCAGGAGCCCACAACCTTCAGCTCCAGGCAAATGGCTGAGACGGAGGTTCCCTTTTGGAACATTTCTCTTTCTTGCTGGCTCTGAGAATCACTGTAGTAAAGAAAGTGTGGGTTTGATTAGGGGAAGTTGAACGCTTCAGAACACACAGATTTTCTGTGACGTGGACAGAGGTGGTGGGGACAGAGGAAGAGGGAAGGCAAGTCGACATGTCGCGGGCCCGTGGGATTTGGGATACCTTAGGGAGGAAGAAGGGCAGAGAGTGGCCGGGACAGGGCCAGGCTGGAAGACACGTGGAGCCGAGGTCAGATTTGCTCATCGCTGCCCCACATCTGCTCTAGGGAATCCGGATTACGTCCTACAAGGCAAGCCTTTTCCTTTAGGCAGTTTCCCAAGACAAAACCGCAGATCTGTATCTCACACTTACCTGGGGATTAAGGACAAATCTGTTAGTTTTGCAAATTGTTCCCTGGACGTTCATTAGCATCAAGAGTCATTACAGGGAGAAAACCCAGGGAACGAAGCCCTCTGGGTACGCTGAACTCAGAAGCAGAGGGTGGGAGTTAACCCTCTCCGGTAGGCCCCCCGAGTTCCTCCTCTCGCCTTCTTCCTCCGTCGTGTTTCTCCTTCGACATTTGGCTAGACACCTTCCAGGTCGGGGCGCACAAATCTGGAGTTTGGATCTGTGCGGCCTTGGGGCATTATGGGTTTCCCCTCCTGACCCCTCAAGACCCTGTGCTCACCTGGTGTTCCTGGAAGCAGGTGCTACAACGTGTGAGGCGTGCGGGGAAGTTGCACACGTGCCACACAATGACTTGGCCCCAGATGCACAGACTGAGGTATAAAGACAAAACAAATATTACTCTCAAAATCTTTGAATAAATACATATTTTTGGGGAATCTTGGATCATTTCATCTTCTGGAAGACTGTTTCTAAACAATAAAAACCTTCTTCTAAGGTGTAAGTCTGACTTGATAAGTGTCCTTAATTACCCTCTTTGTAATTCCATGTCCACACCTACTAATCAGAGGTAACTGGACTCTGGGGCCGAGAATCTCAAACATCAAATACATTGCAGACCATGAATGCCCTGGAGAGAGGACACTGCCCTGCCTTTTGCCATCTGCGAGGACAGCACTAGTGTTTGTGTTTCCTTCCTTCTTTCAAAGTATGTTGTTCTCAGACACACAGAGGCAGTGCAGTGGCTCAGATCTGCAGAAGGTATACAAATCTGACCTCCATTTAGCCGTGGGCAACATCACTTGGTGTGAACCCTTGCAGGTGGAAATGGTTTGTACATTCACTATAAATTACCAGCATCATCATTTTTGAAAATCTCATCTCACCCTCCAAATCAGTTGAGAACTAGAGAAACTGTGGCAAATGCCTTAAGAATATGAGGCTAATGCTGTTCTCAGGTTGAGCCTAGAAGAGCTCGACAGGGACCCCTTTTCAGAGGATGGGCCCCTTGTCAGGGAACTGGGAATGGGAGAGAGCAAGAAAAGCACAATACTATTGTTCTCTTTTGAGGTCACGGATGCCAGAGCAATGCAGAATTAATTCTATTGTGGTGTATATCCACATGAAGCGACCATCTGCAGGGAGTGAGGAACCATCCAGCAGCTCCTGAAAAACATGTTCCTTCACTTTACCGCTGGCAAAAAAAAAAGTCTATCTGAAGCTGAAATTGCAGGGTGAAGGAGGTGTACAGTATGTTTGTGCCTCTGTGTGTATGTGTAGCTAGGTGTGCGTGTACCTTACTCCTTTTGGACTTGTCCCAAACTGAACTTCTGAGTTTGGTCACCAAGATCTTTTTCCCTGCTTTGTCTCTGCCTGGCTAATTCTAAGGGCTTCTCTCTCAGACTTCATCCCATGTGGCACTCCTTTGCTTTCACTGTATTTCGGGGGCTATGTCCTTGCCCTAAAATCATGGCTGGCGGGGTTATGTTTCATCTTACTCAAGGGAGCCAGTGGGTCTGGAGAGGGGATGCACATGCTTAGCCCCTGAGCTGTGGCCAACGTTATCCCAAATTTCAGTCTATTCACTGATGGCAGTCATTCTCAAATTTCACTGGGCATGAGAATCACCCAAGTGTTTATTTAAAATCTACAAATTCAGGCTGCAGCTTTTGAGAAGTCTTTAGGACTGGAGCAGGGTCCAGCCTGCCTAAAACCTGCATTTTGAAAAGCAGTGCATTACACCTGACATCACTGATCCTCACTTGAGCTCAACTAAGGAAGAGGGAAAAAATCTTCCTGGCCCCAGAATAACCTTCCTTTTCATCCAGTCTCGCAGGACATCACTAGATTGTTGGCCTATGGTTCATCATCATGAATCAAGACAACAAACAGGGTTTCCTGAAACAGCCCAAAGAAAACAGACCCACTGTGATTCCAAGTGTTTTTTCATTAGAGCTCTATTCTTACCTTAATCAGCTGATACAAACAAGGGCAGAGGTCTGAAATCCAGACTCCTCATTCCACGTCACTTACAGGCAGTACAGAAACTTGAACCATCATCTGTCTGTCTTTAAAAATACACACTTGTTGTGGGGAAGTATAAGGAGGGACACTGCTGTTGGAAGGAGGATCATATGATTTGCCTGGTTTATTACCAGGAGAAGTCCAGTGCCAGTAATGCTGACACTAAAGCACCTGGGTAAATGAAGGGAGAGACCTGGAGTCTGGTCTGACGCCTGGTCAGCACCTGGTGAACGCAGTAAGAGATCAGCTGCAGGACTCAATTCAACGGTCACCTAGGGCAATCCTGGTCTAAAAGGTCTTTTACTGGGCTTGAACCATCTTATGCTTTTTCTTAAGACTCACATGGCGAGTCTCCCCAAACGTCTTATTTCTCAATTCTACACATCAGCAGGAGATTAGGAGGGAATTCTAATTTGTCTCTGAACCAATTTATAACGAAGTTAGCAAACAATTAAGATGGTCCTCAAACTACTAACCAGAAGTACCAGGAACATCTGGAACGCATTCTCTCTTCTCTCCTGCAGCTGACAGACTTTACCCCTCACAAATGAACAGTGCTTCACTGAGCTCAAGTCTGCTTTCATTCACTCCGAAGGCAACAGAGCCCCTCTTCTCTCTGCCTTTTGGGTGTCCTTTTTCGTTTGGAACTTCCATGCTGAATCTATAGCACCTTGTTGTGGAAACCCCAGAGGCTGGATTCTCACCCAATAATTCCTTGGGGCAGCTAAGTATACCTTCAGTGGGTTCCCGCAGCCCACCTGTCAACCGTTCCCCCAGCGGAAGCCAGAGAGAGGATAGGACAGGTGAGGAAGCGAGAGAGCAGAGGTCAAGCAGAAAGCAGCCAGGGGGCCGTGCTGCCTCATTCTGATGAACTGTTTAGGTCAACGCTGTGCAACTGGACACAGATTCACGTGCCACTGGAGGGCCTGTCTGCTGTGGTCTGATAATGGAGGCACTGGCAGCACCAGCTCCCCAGGTGTGGGAGTGGCCCCTCGGGAGCAGCCTGGACCCACCATCTGTTGAAACCAAATATAAGAATAAAACATCGCTTTACAGCTCACATTTCTTCACTGAAGTTTAAATAAATTGCCCAGCAATGAAGTAAGATAAGTTGGTCCCGTTTGTCTTATTTGTGAATACTGATTGTTGGGAAATTAGTAAATGGAAAAAAATAAAATAAAAATAGACTTACTTTATTAGTTTTAGAAATCAGTAATTCCAAAGGGCGCCTTTACCATGGCTCATGTGGTCAGCAGCACACCGACTTTCCTCCACTCTCTGGGAGACTTGTGATGTAAGCTCCCCCTTCCCCCTAAACCCTCTGGAAAGGGAAGAACAACTTTGGTAGATACTGTTGTTGGGATTTTAGGCTTGTAGGAGATAAAGCTTAATACTGCAATCTGGAAAAGAAGAGGAAGCAAAATGCAAATAGCCAAAGAGCCTCTTTTATATCATCTCTGTGCGGTAGCAGGAGAGGGACAGAGGAGACCTATACAGGTTGGGGAGGGGGCAGAAGGGGTAAAAGATACACGTGTGCTCTGATGGGGTAATATAATGCATCAGCTGAATGTCCCCACTGCCAAGGTCCATCGAAACCTAGCTGAAATGTTTTCCTGTCGTCTCAGGAAGAGTCTGGATTGGCTGGTAGGCAACAATCTACTGCCACTTCTGCTTGAAGGCATTGGGGACTGAGGCAGCAAAAAAAACACTCTGCACCCCTTGCAGCACTGGTGGATGCTTCCCTGGCAGTCACGCACCCAGGAGTAGTGGGACTAGTGAATAGGTTCTTCCTCCGCCGGTTTGTGGTTCATCGTTTAGTGTGAGCAGGATCTGAAAGAGAAAGTCAGCCACTAAGTGTCCAAAATGGGCACGTGGGGGTTTAGTAATTTACAGCATGTTTGGATTAGTTAGCATTGCTGAAGTACAAAGTAGCTGTGGCCCAAATAAATGACGATCACTTTGCAGTAGAAAACTATTCATTTTAACCACCTTCGTTGGAAACTGTTCTAAAACCCTTCAATTTTGCTGCCTTTTTTTTTTTTTTGGCTGTAGTTTTCTTCGCTTTCTCCCTACTCCTCATAAAAACATTTCATCCTTTTTGCTTCTTAAATAGAAGATGCTAAATATATTAACCTTTTCTAGAAACTCAGGGTCAGCATTATTAGCATTCAATATTGAACTGCACAGAAAATCTGCTCTATGTTAGCTCCAGAGTTTGTCTAAATCTTCCCTCCACGTCAGGTTGTCAGAAAATATTCTGCCTTGTACCCCCTGCTCCCATCCACAAAACACACACCTACAGCCCTCTCTTCCAATGTAAGAGAAGGAAAATTACCATTACCCTGAATCCCCTGTGAGATCCTTCCAATTCTTCCCCATTCCCACTACCCTGAACTTTGCATTTAACCTTTCCTTGTTTGCTTTTTAAAAAGTTTATTTAGTTCATATATATATATATATATCTAAATACTGTATTGTTTAGTTTTATGTGGTTCTGAATTTTATAGTGCTATTTTATTATGTGACTATTCTTATATGTGATCTCAGCACACAACTGGAAGGATTTCTTTAGATAGATACTTCGGAGTGGAATTGCTGGGGACATAAATACTTGCATCTTCAACCCTCTAAAAATAATGCCAGATTATTTTCCAAAGCAGTTGCACCACTTCACACCCTCTCTGCCAGCGGATGAGCTCCCTCTCGGCTTCCCCTCCTCTACGGCGGAGAAGTGGTATCGCCTGAGCTTAAAATTTTTGCGAACAGGTGAAGATATGATGGCATCCTACTGTGGTTTCCACTGGGATTCACCTGACTGGGAATGAGGCTGAGCATCTCTTCAGGTATCTAGCACTGAGCACACGTATTTTCCTCTGTGAAATGCCTGGACATGCCTTTTGCCAAGTGAGTTGCTGCTTCTTGATGTTTTTAAATAGCTTTACTGTGATAGAATTCCATTCAATTTACCCATTTAATGTGTGCAATTCAGTGGCTTTTAGTATATTCAGAGTTGTGCATCCATCACCACAAGCAAGTCTAGAACATTTTCACTGAAAGAAAACGAAACCCCATATCTCTTAGCCATCACCCCCATACAGCTCATCCCCCAGCCCCAGGCAACCATTAATCTATTTTTTGTCTCTATAGATTTGTCTACTGTGGACACCGCATATCAAGTGGAATCATATAATATGTGGCCCTTAATGTCTGGTTTCTTTTCACCTACCATAATTTTTTCAAAGGTCATTCACTAGCAGGCACCACTACTCTATTCCTTTTTTATGGCGTTTTGTGTACACACTACATTTTATTTATTCACTCATCATTTGATGGGCGGTTGGGCTGCTTCCACCTCTTGGCTATTATTAATAATGCTGCTATCAACATTCACGTAAAAGCTTTCTGTTTGGATATATGTTTTCATTTCTGTTGGGTTATATGTGTAAGAGTGGAATTGCTGGGTTATATGGTAATTCTAATGGTTTGAGGACCTGCCAAATCATATCTGCAGTGTATTCTCCCAATTTCTCCACATCCTCATCAGCACTTGTTATTTTCTGTCTTTTTGATTATCACCATCACGGTGGACGGGAAGTGGTATTCTGCTGTGGTTCTGATTTCATTTCCCCAGTGGCTACTGATGTTGAGAATGTTTTCACATGCTTATTGGCACAGTGTATCTTCTTTGGAGAAATGTCTGTTCAGATCCTGTGCCCATTTAAAAAATCAAGTCATCTTTTAAATCGCTGGGTTGTAAGACTTCTCTACATATTCTAGACACAAGTCCCTTATCGCATACATGACTTTCAGATGTTTTCTCCCATCCTGTGGGTTGTCATTTCACTTTGACAGTGTCCTTTGAAGCACAAAATTTAAAAATGTTGATGATGTCCAGTTTGTCTTTTTTTTCTTGTGTTCCTTATACTTTTGATGTCATATCTAAGAAACTACTTACTGATTTTTAAAGTTCTTTGTTTAATATCTGGATACTAATTTTTTGAAGGTATGTTACAAATACCTTCCCAGGCAAAGGTGTTTCTGACTCATCTCTTCACTCTCTGTAGGGTATCTCTTTTTAAAGAGGATGCTTCATGATTTATGAATTTATAAGGAAAGTCCTACTCAGAGATAAAAGTTAGATTGCATTTAGATATACGTTAACAAGGGAACTTTTCAGAAAAATGAGTTTTCAAAAATATTAGGACAGTATTAGAAAATCCAGGGCAGTCACCATAAAAGTAGATGGTTTCTTTGAAAAACGTTTTAAAAGAAAAAAATGTCAAACATACACAAAAACTAGAATAATATAAGACACCTCCATCCTCCCACCCTCTAGCTTTGATAATTATTGATGTCCTATAATTTGTGTTTCATTTCTTTCCCCACGTTTTCTTCCTGGAATACTTCAAAGCAAACCCAAGATAACACATCATTTCACCCATAAATACTTTAGAATGCATCTCTAATAGATAAGGACTTAAGGATAAAAGGAAAACAAAACAAAAACCCCACAAGATCTTTATGGTGTCTTAGACGTTCTTAATTGGAACAAAGTCAAACTGATCAGTTTTCACCTTTCTAGTCTGTATTTTTTAAGTCTAATTGAGGAAATCTTCCCCTTACATTACAGTCCTAATATATGGTCCGATAATGTCTTATAGAAGATGGGCACTTTTGTCTTTTATATTTAAGCCTTTAATCCAACCTAAAACTGCGTACGTATGAAGCACAGATTTTTCCTTTTTTCCCACACAATAACTAATTGTCCTAGCATTATTTATTTCTTCCTTTAACTGCAATACCTCTCTGACATATACTGTTTCCATATAGAAGACCAGCTTCAGGTTTCTCTATTCTGTGCCAACACCACACTCTCTTAATTACTTTAGCTTGATAATAATCTTGATAATAATTCTTGGTATCTGGTAAGACAAGTCACACATGGCCCTCTTACTCTCATTCTCATTCTTTGGGAGGACAAGGGTTATTCTTGGCCCTTTCCTCTTCAATGTAAATTTTAGACTCAGCTCGTCAAATTTAAAAAAATGAACAACTAATACCCTCTCCAATTTATAGACCAATTTTGGGCAGAACTGACAATTTACCAAGCTGATTTTTAATCTATGAACATGTATATCTCTCCATTAATTTGTTTTTTTAATTGACTCTCGATAGGTTTTATAATTTTTAAAATAATAGGTCTTACGTATCTTTTGTTAGATTTTTCCCTAGGAATGTTGTATGCTTTAATGATTATAACTTTGATATAATTAAATGATTATAGATCTTTTCTATAATCACATACCCTACGTGTTTGTTGCTAAGGTACAGAAATGTAATTCATTTTGGAAAACTCTTATAAAGCTAGTAATTTATTTGAACATTCATTTTGGGTTTCCAATCAGAATAAATATAAATATATTTACATTATCTGAGAATAAGGACAGACTTGCTCCTTCATTTCTGATTCTCAGGTCATTTCTTTTCCTTATTCTACTTTACTGACCAGGACTTCCAGTACAACGCTCAACAGAAGTGAAGGGCACCCTTGTCTTGCTCTGCATCTTAAAGGGGAAGCTGTCAAAGTTTCCCAACTATTAGAATGATGGTTACTGTCAGTTTTTTTTGGTAGAGGTATTCTATTATTAGGCTCCCTTCTATTTTTAGTTAGCTAGGAATTTATTTTAAAGTCACAAGGCTATTGAATTTTATCAAATGCTCATTCTGTATCCATTGAGAAGAGCATATGATTTTTTCTCCATAAATCTGTTACTGCAGAAAATTACATTAGTCAATTTTCAAATATTAAATAATACTTGACTCTCTGGGATAGACCTAACTTTATCATGATGTATCGTCTTTTTAACATTGCTGGACTCAGTTTGCTAATGTTCTATTCAGACTTTTTTATATTTATATCCACAATTAAGAAGATCTTAATAATTGTAGAACTTTTGGAGGGGGACCTGTCCTTGTTAGATTTTGATATTAAGATAATAATAAGAGTTAGGGAGTGTTCTCTCTTTTTCTCTACTCTGGAATAGTTTGTAGAAGATTGGCATATCTGATCCCTGGATGTCCAGGAAAACCATAAAAGCCTAGCGCTGCATTTGCAGGAAGATTTTTGTTCTTGATTCAGTTTCCTAATAATTAAATAAGTATTTGGGTTTTATATTTCTTCTTGAGTAAATTTTTATAAGTTAAATACTAAAATTGTATCCATCTCACCAAAGTTTTAAAAATGTATCAGAATAAGGTTATTCATAATATCTTCCTACCAGATGTTTAATCTCTACAGGGTGTATAATAATGTCCCTATTCGTTTCTCTCAACTGTATGTTTATTTTCTATTTTATTAGTTTCCTCTTTATCTTTATTATCTTTGAACTTATTTTGCTGTTCTTTTTTTAATTTCTTAAGCTAGATACTCAGCACATTAACTTTTAGTCTTTCCTCTTTCCGTACTCTGTGTAAAATTTCCTCTAATATTGCTTTTTAAAATTCCTCAGGTTTTGCTAAATAGTATTTTCTAAATATATCATTTTGGGGATAATTTTATTAACTCTTTCTTAATTTCTAAACACATAAGGATTTTCCAGTTATCTTTCTGTTACGGCATTGTGATCAGGAAATATGGCCTTTGAAATGTGACTTAAGGTGTAGTACATAGTTTCTGCAAATGGACGTTTGCAAAGAATGTGTTTTATGTACTTAATTTAGAGTGATGTTCTCTACATATCTATTAGATTAAATCTGTTAATTGTGTGCTTCAAGTTTCCTAAAATGTAACTGATTTTCAGACTGCTTGACCTACCAATTACTGAGTTACA